CAGAAGCTAACTATCAATGGAAGGAACTGAAGAATGGTCCTAACCCTTGCTATCTCTATCCAACTTACTCTTTTCTTCAACGGCTTCACTCTCCTTCCCTTTGAATGAGGGCTACTTTACAGCTAGCAGTAGATTCACCTCTGGATTTCTTCCTTCCTCTAGTTTTAATCTATTAAAAACACAATGAATCACTGATGTCATTTAATCTGTTGCTCTCCCTACTACTTTTGAAAATAAAATACCGTTAAAGGTGCAGGAATTTGAGTTAGTTTGCTTGCTTGCAATCTAAGAGGTTGTGTGTATTTTTCAAAAGAGAGAAACATATGAATGAAATTAAAACCCCAAAAATGTGAGTTTGAGCCCTTTTTCAAAGAGTCACTCTATCACAGAAAATGAGATTTCATTACAAGGAAAACCAGGGCAAACACAGAGAGACTGTGATTGGAAAAGGTCCTGGGAGTGTTGCCCAGGAAGAGTCATCCAACAGTACAAAGAAAGATGAAAAGCAAGAGTTCCATGGCGGGCTTCTTACTCCTAAATCCTTTAAACTAAAAAGACCATTATTTTCTCCTTTGAGGTGCACCAACTCCAATAACATTAGAAAATAACTCAAATTTTTAAACATTATAAAATGATTTAAATTATTAATATGAATTTGCTTATAGAATCAGGCATGGTGCTGTACTCCTGCTTCTCTGCTATTCAGGAGGCTGAGGCAGGAAGACCGTGATTCAGAATCCAGCCTGAGTAACTTAGCAAGACTCCATCTCATACAAAAAAAAATTTATAAATTATTCCCCCAAAGTTGTAGTTTTATTCTTTTCCATTGGATTTCTAAAATAATTTGCTTCCTCAATTTTGTCTGGTCAATTCCTATAAAAACATGAGAATGTAGAACTTCACTGTTGGTGAACTGCAGTATGCTGACAGTCTTTGCTCATTTAAGTATTGACATCTTGCTATTTTGTGGCCCCAGGTTTTTTATTCAAGATATTCCTAAGCAACAATGCTTTGTTTTTCCTCTGTAAGCTACTATTTCATTGAAGCTAAAACTTTGGAAAAGTCAAACCAAAATGTTTAGCATTCTTCAGTAGGTAAAAATAAGAAGAACAAAAAGGGAAAAGAAAAAAATGTGAGAGAATGAAAAGATGAAAATAAAGTGTTTGTAGATGGGGAGGGGAGGAGGGGGTGAAGGGAGGGCAGAGGTAAGGGGAAAAAAATGAGAATCAAGACTTGCCATGTAAAGGTACATGATCCCAACAATGAATGTAACTGTACTGTATCCCTAAATGTACCAATAAACTCAATAAAAAAAAATATATATAACACATTAAATATTCAAATGAAATTTAACAAACACATGGAGAAGAATGGGAAAGGAAACAACTAATGAGATCAATCTTTAGTAATCACTAAATCTTAACCAAAGACAATCTGCTAAGTGCAATCTGTTAAGTGCTTTTCCTGGCTGCCTATGGAGCAGCCACACAACCCTTAAGGGTGGTGTCATAGCTTCTGCTGCCCATACAGGAAAATGACTGGAAAGCTGGAGCCCTCACTGTGAGTAAGGGTCCACATACAGTGGGCCCTCGAGTTACGAGCAGCCTGACATATGAACAACTTGGGTTATGACCAGAATTTTAGTTTTAATTTATGACAAAAGTCTTGACCTGAATACCAACCACTTGTGCTTCCAAATGGTCTCAGATACAGATTTAGCCTTCAAAGAGTTCAGAAGGACCATTACAACATCCTCTCCTGTGTGGGGTTTGCTGAGAAATCCTGGGCCAGTGTCTCTCCAAGGACACTGAGATCTGCTTGTGTACAGGAGAGGGACTTTGAAGGCTGTGGAGAGAGGTGAGCCTTCAGTTGACCAACTTGAGTTACAAGCAGTCCTCTAGAATGAACTGAGTTCCTAAATCGAAGTCCATGGTCTGTGACGCCAAACCAGGAGAGAGCAAGAAAGAAATCGAGGTAGAGATGGAGAGCTAGAGAAGAAGAAAGGGAGAGAGGGAGGAGTGGAAGGAGAAGGGAAGGAAAGGCTCTCACTCATCCTCCTCTTCCACTCTCAAAGTCACGCTAGGGCCATAAGCCAGTCCCACACTGGGTGCTATGCCTTTCCCTTCACTAGTTTTCCAACTTGAGCTTTTAGTAAAGAAGAACATAGAGAATTAAAGTAATTTTACTATAGAAATAACCTCAGCTTTTTGTTTTGCTCACAGGAAGTATTTGAAAAAACTAATTTAGCACTGAAAACAAATTATATGCAACACACACACACACACACACACACACAGTAGATGCCCTGTTTGCTAATAATGGGGCAAGATGTCATTAAACTATCTTAGCTCAAGATAATTGGTTACTATAAAAAATAATTCCTCAGGTGCAAAGAGATGTGTAGGGCTAATTTTTACCCAACTGAAGCAGCAATTTTTATTCTAAGTAGCCTTAAGCAATCTCTGGAGAAAACTCAGGGGGCTAGGTAGGTAAGAGGCTGAGTCTTCTGACCCCCTTTCTCAGTCCTTCATAAGCAGAGTAATTCTGTTTTTAGATGACTAGTATACTGAATTTTGAGTGAGATTTGGGCTGAGAAAAACTGTTCGCCTCAAAAAAATGCAAATCACCGAGGTATTGGATTTTCTGCTTTCCTCAAGCGTAATTTTGAATATAAATCCAATTCATACTTGTTACTTGAATCTTAAAATTTGAAACTTGTGTCAAATCATATTCTGGTTTTATTACTGAAGGAAGCCATATAATATTGGAATAACAAGATTTTAGTTGTTCGATCAGCTCTTTTAAGGAAAAGTCAGAGCAAAAGAACAATATTTGAAAAGCTTAGCAGTGCTTCAACAGAGGGTAAAATAATCATGAAGTCGTTTTTCTCTTTGTAAGATCTATATAATGAGAAAAAAATCAAAGTGAGTCCAACCTGATCTATCCTTTATTAAATCATATTATAGCCTACTGCATTCTGTGCTTTCCTGGATGTAAATATTGATTGTCTACTCTTGCAACTCATTCTTCTCATCCACACTTTCAAGGAAAATCCTTTATTCAAACAAACAAAAAAATAAATGAAACACAAGATTTCCCATGGCACTTCTAACATTTAGGGATGGGAGAATTTTTTCCTGTGCATAAGGGTTTGTTTGTTTTATTGTATTTTAAAACTTTGAAATAAACTCAAAAGGCTATCGGAATGTAAAAAATAATATACTTAATTCAGCTGTATGCTTCCTGTACATAGGGATTATGCTAGACTCTGATAAAAGTGAAAGTAAATAATTCATCTCTGATCAAGAAGAACTTTTAATTTAGTCATAAAGATACATGTAAGAAGAATTTTAATCATATAGCATAAATTTAAAAGAAAGGATAATTAGCACAAATGGAGGCAGCAGGGAAATTTTCCTAGAGGCTACATTTAAGCTTAGGGCTTTTCACAAAATAGTTTGAGATATTTTTGAGATAGAAACATATACAGTTCCCAGATTTAAAATTTATGATTCACTATCCAACATATTACACAGTTGTACAAACATAACCAAAATACAATTTGAGGAAATGTTGGCTCCCTCTAAAAGAAATCCTCTGACCATTAGGGTTTCTCTCTTCCCCTTGGCTTCACCCAACCTGCTCGAACTAATCCACTTTCTGTCTCCCTGGATTTCCCTTTTCTGGACCTCTTCCAGGAGTGGAAGGACAAGATACACAACCTTTTGTGACTGGCTTCTTTACTTGCCATAATCTTCTTAAGGTTCATCCTGTTTGTGATATGTGTTATTACGTTATTTTTTAAAGCCAAATAACATTCCACTGCATGGCCACGCCATATTTTATTTATCATTAGATAAGTAGCTTTTTATTTATCCACCTGGATATCCACGTATCCATGTGAAGGACACTTGCATTGTTTCCCCTTTGGGGCTATTATGAGTGATGTGTGGAAGTTTATGCATGCATAATGTTTGGTGCAAAGCTGCTTCTGTTTTTTGAGTATACTCCTTGGAGAGGAATTGCTGGGTCATATAGGAATTCTGTGTTTAATTTTTTCACAAATTACCAAACCATTTCCCAAGGTAAGTACACCATTGTACATCCCCACTGACAGTGTAAGAGGGCTCCAATTTCTCCATAGCCGCACCAACATTTCTTATTGTCTTTCTCTCTGCTTATAGACATCTTAATGGCTGAGAAGCAGTATCTCACTATAGTTTTCATTTGCACTATCCACATGATTGAAGATGGTGAGTTTCTATTTCACATGCTTATTGGCAATTTTTTTTTTTTTTTTTTTTTGTACCGCGGATTGAACTCGGGTCCTTGCACTTGCAAGGCAGGCCATCGAACTACTGAGCTAAATCCCCAGCCTTATTGGCAATTTTTATATCTCTTTCTTTGAAAAAATGTCTATTGAGATACTTTACCTGTTTTTAATTTAAAAAATTTGTTTTTACTATTGAATTGTAAGAATTCTCTTTTGTATTCAGTATAAAACTTCCTCATCAGATATATGATTTGCAAATACCATTTCCAAGACTGTGAATTACGGCCTCACTCTTTTGATGATACAAATTATAACATGAAAATGTAATTTTGATTCAGTAGAATTGTTTATTGAAGGGCCGGGGATTTAGCTCAGTGGTTCCACCGCCTGCCTTGCAAGTGCAAGGACCCGAGTTCGATCCCTGGTACCAAAAATAGGAATGAATCTAGAATTGTTTATTGTTGCTCTTGCTTGTGCTGTCATAGTAAAAAAAAAAAAAGCATCTGACCTTCGGCCACATGCAGAGCAGTTGGAGCTCATTCCAGACAGGTAAGGAATAAGCAGCACTGTGGAATCAGGGTACTCTATAAATTCCCTTATTTATTTTTTAAAGGAAAGATAAGGCTCCCACAGAACCATACCTAGCAACTTTGTCATACCATCCTATCTGCTCTGTACGACAATTTCCATATGGGTATCACTAACATTATCCTTTTGCTATCTACAGGTTAAACAACAGAAGCAGTGTATATGCTAAAAGAAATTCTAGGTAATGTAAATACTTAAATATATTTTCTAAATATACCTGCATTCCTTTAAGTAATGAAAAGGTCTGTGTCCCCCAATTTGAAGCAGTCAAATTCACAAAGCGTCATTTTTTTACCTTGAATTTTACACCAAATCTAAGAGACTGTCAAATACACCTTAAGAAAAAATTTATTTATTTGTTTGTTTATTTATTTATTTATTTATTTATTTTTTGGTTCCAGGGATCAAACTTGTGTCCTTTTGTTTACAAGGCACGTGGCAGAACCACTGAGCTAAATCCCTGGCAGAACTTTTTCTACTATTATAAGTCTACAAAAAAAATGGCTGAAAAACTTCAGTAGTTTCTATTACTAACTATAGGAGTTATTAATGCCTTTTATTTTAGACAAATCTTCATTTCCAATATCATTTTTAAACATGAAGTGTTTAATTTTGTTAAAGTTTAGTACATTTAACTGAAGCTGACAAGGGCCTGATCACCTTATTTTACAGCAGAGAAATATTCTATTTTGCAAAAAGTCACCTGTGTCATACAAAACATTGAGGTCTAAGAACTGACACACAATTCCTTCCCTTCCGGCACTGGGTATCCTCTGGTATGTCACTTGCCCTTGCTATGCTACCATTGTTTCATCTGAGGAATGAATTTGATGAATCTCTCAATTGTCATTTGTTTAGTTCGTCTCCAAATAGAAACTAAAGGTATGAAGAGGGGTAAATGCCATTGTCTGGGCATTGAAGATGTGCAAATAGTTTCTCCCCTGTATGGTTTCATTTGAGAGCACCACATGAGTTTCTAACAGGTATAACCCTAAATTCACCTCTTCCTTAAATATAATCAGGTCTTGTTCTTAAAAACAAAATAGCACCTCCTTCTGAATTATGGGTTTTAATCCTATCTATGAGACAAAAGGAAACCTATTTAGGTGAATTGAGAAATTTAATCTTGGAGAGGTTAAATAAATTAATAAAAATTATATCACTATTTGTTGGCTGTGGAAGGACAGCAATTAATATCTGCATATTTGTTGACTATAATTCTAGTATTTTTTTCTGCTGTTTCAATATTTTTAAATATGCAGAAGTAGAATATTACACAAAGCATGTTTCTTTTGACCTGGCATCTCTCCAGATTACTTATTAGAAGGAAAGAAAAAATAGCACGATCATCTCATACACAAATCTAAAAATTCATAAGAATATGTATCTGTTCATAATACAGTAAATTGGGGCTGGGGAATTAGATCAGGGGATCTGCCGCCTGTCTTGAAAGCGCAAGGTCCCGAGTTCATTCCCCAGTACCAAAAATAAAAAAAAAAAAATTAAAATAGTCACTAACATCTTAGGGCTAGGGATTTGGCTCAGTGGTTCTGCCACCTGCCTTGCAAGTGCAAGGAGCTGGGTTCGATCCCTGGTACCCCCCCAAAAAAAAAGCCCATAATACAGTAAATGGAGATATGTACCAAATATTGCTGATGGTAGGCTGCTTAATACTTTATAAAAATGTGGTATTTTCTCATTTGTTAAATTATGATTATCACACATCAATTATTCTGAGAACAAAGGGATAATGTAATAGCTCATGCTGCAATTTGGGTTTTTCTCCAACTGAAGGTCTTTTGAATTTGGAAAAACTTTCCCTCCAAAAATGACACTAGCAAAAAGAAATCGTGTTTCTACTACTGCCAATCCTCTGCCTATGAATTTGGGATTAGGATCTGTGTTCTGAGTATGTGTTTTCTGGAGTAACTGGCGAATGTTCTTGTTCAGCTTGATCTCAAGTGCACATCTTTTTCCCTCCTGTGAACTCCAACAGAAAATTATTTCTACGAGTCTTACAAGTTTGCTCACATGCCTCATTATCATTTTATGATGAGAGCCTAAGCTCTTCCTATTTCTATTTTCCATCCATTCACCCAACAAATATATCTTTAGCAGGTCTAGGGTGTTGCGTGTGGGGTACAGGGTTGGGGCTCTCAGGTGAATTTAGCACTGCGCCACCCTGTCCCCTTGGGAATTCTCTCCCGAGGGCAGGGCTGGACCCGAACTGACACTGCAGGGGAGTAGGCTGTAAGAGACAGGAAAACCTAGAGGGGCTGCTCATACCAAAAAGCTCTTCGGCAAATTCAGAATGAATCCCTCCCCTAGGTGCCTTTGCCTGAGACCACGCCCTTGTTTTACTTCTTCCTTGCCTGTCCTTTACTCATCTTTCCCTTGTCAGTCAGTCTCCTGTGAGCACCTCCCTATGAAAGCTCACTACGCTTGCACGACACTTGCCAGTTCTTGCCTCTGAAGGTGATCCACAAATCTAAAACAGCGAGAGGAAGCAGATGATGAAAAAATGCGTACCGTCAGGATATAAACCATGAGTGAGATACAGGCATATTTTTCAACAAACAGTAGCCGAGTACTTAACCGCACATCTGGACAATTTTATCACCTTTCTTTGACTCGCACTCTATTAGGACATGCTCCATAAATATATGCTGGGTAAACAATTATGGAAGGCTAAATTCACCAAAAAAAAAAAATAAGAAATCTTGTTACAGTTTAGATCTAAAATATCTCCCCAAATCCTCATGTGTGTGAGAGGGGACTGAACTATGTGAACCTAAACTCATCAGCAGATTAAAAACACTGTTAGGAGCTGAGCCTCGGTTGGAAGACTGAGGTTCACTGTGATTGTGACCTGAAGAGATGTATCTCCCTTCCTAGCTCCTCCCTCTCTCCCTGCTTCCTGGGTGCCACGGGATGAGCAGGTCCTCAGCCCAGGGCCTTCTGTCATGCACTTTGTGCTGCCTTGGAGCTAGCAGACCTCACTGAACTCTCTAAAAGCCTCTCTTCCTTTAAGTTGTAGGTGTTGGCTCTTTTGTTCCCACGATAGAAATGTGACTAAGACATACTGTCTAACTGCTCCACCTTTGATTTGGTAACCCTGACTGGAAGCCTGAAAAAAAGAAATCTAATTGTAGATGGTGTGATCGAGTTCATCTTATTTAGTAGAAGTTAACTGAATCACTTGTGGAAAGAAACATAGGTCACTTGGATCTATCTGCCAATACCTGAAATGTTCTTTGCACTGAAGTGGGAAGAGCAAGAAACACAGTGGGAGCTGGGGTAAGATGAATTAAAAACTCAGGGAAGACAAGTTGTTGCACACACTTGAATGTCTTGGGGACAGGACATAGGCAGGAGCACAGGGCCAATCCTCTCTCTCTACCCTATCCAGTTTCCTGCAAATGTTGAAGGCTATGAAACTCTCTCCCAGTAAGTGATAATGTTGCAGCCCTGTGATGAAGAGAGCAGAGTTTCCCAGGACTAGCCCAGAGATTAAGTGAAGAGAAAACAAAGGACAGGTAAGAGGATGCCAGGCAGCAGTCAGCACAGGGGGAAATGTGCCTATGGAAACAGAGAGCAGCAAAAGACAGAAAAAGGAAAGAAGTATTTCTGAGGTTTAAAGGCCACTTGGGTAGAAGAAAGAACACGGAAAACCAAAGCTACTTTTCAGAACAGGAACCACATTTAATACATAATATAGTAGTGACAGTAATGAAAATATTCTTAGGAAATATTTTAGCTAGGCCATCGCTGAGACGGTGACACAGACCCTAGGAAGCACTGCCCCCTAAAGGCGCCCTGTGTCTCAGCCAGACTAACAGACACAACCCAAGCCAGGAGGGTTTGCTAGACTTGCGAGCTTGCTTGAGGGGGACCTCAAAGTGGGCCCAGAATTGAGGTCCAGCCACCGATGGCCCCGAATTATGCACTGAGGTTGACGAAAGACAGCCAGATCTTCTTTTTAGGAATATTAATTTTTAGTTTAAATTATAAAATAGTTAATCCAGTTGTCCCTTGGGCCGGATTGGTTCCAAAACCCCCATGATACCAAAGTCCACAGATACCCAAGATCATTCTATAGAATGATACAGTGTTTTCCTATTACCTCTGAAATCCCATTTCACACGTAAATATTCTCTGCATTACTTATCATACCTAACACAGTGTAAACATATATTTTCACTCTGTTTGGGGAATAATAACAAGAAAAAGAAAGACTGTGCATGTTCAGTTCAGATGCAGTTCCCCCGAACATATTACATACGAAACATAGCCTGTGCTGGCTTGAACCCACAGATTCAGAAGACTGACTGTCTGCCGCGGCATATAACTCAAAAGACACAGTGTGTCACACAGTGCAAAGTAAATATCCTCCTATCTTGTCCCCTAGCCCTGCCTACGGCAGCACACATTATTTTATTTTTGCATATTCTCTCAAGGATATATGATGAAATTTTCAAACAAAGACTGGCACTGTTTTCCGCTTAGCTTTGTCATTCCTCCCTATCACAAAGCAATCCATGCTCAGGACAATGTGACATCAGATTATATGCAAAGGCCTCTTTCTTTTTAATTACCACATAATATTCCATTTTCATGGAGGCACTTGTGTAATTTCCTAGTAGTTAACACATGCTTTTTGCTAGTATAAATATGTTGTGATGGAAACCCTTGATGATATATATGTGTGTACTGTACACTAGAGACATGTGTAAGAGTATGACTATGGGATGGATATTCTAAAATGAAGTGGCTATCAAAATCCAGGCCCATTATTCTTAATCCACTATTTCCAAATTGGTAACACATTTATCAGTTTGGGCTCCCCCCAGCACAATATGAGATTATGCATTTTCTCACATTCTCAATGATGGTGTATTACCAATGACTTCCTGTCTTTACAAGGTGGGAGTTGTTTTAAGGTGTGGCCGTGAATCATGATTGTCAGCCTGATTGTGTAAGAAATTCCTAGCTGATGAGTAAAGCCTGCTTCTGGGTGTGCCCACAGGGTGTCCCCAGAGATGAGCCACGGAGAAGACAGCAGAGTAAGGGGGAAGACCCACCCTGATTATGAGCCTGCCCTTCCTCAACCCGGGCAGAATGCAAGGAGAATGAGGAGAACCCGCTCAAGGGGCTGCCTGTCTCGCACTGCCAAGGCCTGTGGACCTGAGATGCCAATCGCTTTGTAAGAGCCTGACTGAACCAGAGCGACTCCATGTTGACCAGCAAACGACCTAGAGACTGTCGCTCCCCCCCATCCCATATAGGATAACTAATGATTAATTGTGAATTGTTAGGTAACTGCTTTGAAGTAGCTGGGAAACTAAATGGAAACTGTAGTGAACACAGAGACCCAACACAAATCACGCCACTCCTTACCTGCCTGTAGCTGAATGTTCTGAACATTATAATCTAAGTTGTAAATGGAATAATGGATAATCGATCTGCTGATCATTAGTACGTGACGGTCAAATATATGCTTGATGACCACTAGCTCAGATCAACTGATTCTTTGCCTTTGTCCTCTTTCTGTAAGTTTTAAGTGTAACCCCCCTCACAGCCCTATATAAAATGGCCTCTGTTTCTGAGCTGGCCGCCTCTCTGAGCTACTTGGCTTGGGGAGTGCCGTCTGGCCAGACTAAAAAAGGTCTATTTGCCAACTTGCCTGGCGTGTTCCTTCCTGGGTGACTCTCGCTGTCCGACAAGCTCCTGGAGCCTCGCTGAGCTGAGCCCAGCATCGTGGAAGCCTCTTGGCTGTTCACGCTCCAGGAGTAAAAGTTGTTTCTGAGCTGGCCGCCTCTCTGAGCTACTTGGCTTGGGGAGTGCCGTCTGGCCAGACTAAAAAAGGTCTATTTGCCAACTTGCCTGGCGTGTTCCTTCCTGGGTGACTCTCGCTGTCCGACAAGCTCCTGGAGCCTCGCTGAGCTGAGCCCAGCATCGTGGAAGCCTCTTGGCTGTTCACGCTCCAGGAGTAAAAGTGAGACTTAAGTCTTACAGCTTCAGCCTGCAAAGTGGTCTCAATGGTGACTCCACTCTCCTGAGAGCTTCCTGCCCTCAGATCTCAGGCGCTGCTGCATCCTGAATCCCTCTCCTTCTCTGGGGAGCTCCTGGGTCCTCCAGCTTTATAGCAGGGTGAAGGTCCTTATGGAATATCTTGTCTCTCTGCTTCCCCAAGAAATCCCCTTTGACAATCATACACCGTTATCTATAGCACATTTATAATTGCATAATTATTTTAATTATGCATTATGGAAAATTACATAAAGTGAAAGGTACTTTTCTCTTGATTTTTCTTCTTCTAGCACGTACAAAAGGTATGCATTCCTCAGTTTTTATGAAGTTTATTGGAGGTTTCACGTTAGGCTAATTTTAGTCTGGGATGTTTTGAGTGTTTCTCCCGCTTTTCCCATTCCTTAACTACTTTTGTCTTGAGTTGTACTTTTCCTTTATTTAAAATATTACCTCTTTCTCTGAGATATATAAATTATTAATACTTTGTATGCCCTGTCCCATTTTGCATTCGCCTTTAATTTAACTTAGGGTTTTCTCTAGATTTACTTTGAATTATTACTATTTAATCTGTTCAAGCATACACGTCTTTTATTTATTGTTTCAAGATGTCATCCTTCAAAAGGCTTTCCTACTCTGAGAGTTTGTTTTCTTAAGACTACACGATTTTCTTTAGAGCTTGTATTTCTTTTTAAATGTTTAACTCTTAACTCGCTTGCAAATGTCAATACATGGCGAGCACAAGCATCAGTTCAGTTTTTCGGTTTCTTTTTGTTGGTCGGTTGGTTGGTTTTTGTGGAGCTTTATTGTTTATTTTTAGTAGTGCTGAGGATCTAACAAGGGCCTCATACATGCTTAGTATGTGCTCTAACCTTGAACTACGTTCCCAGTCCTACTGGCATTTAATTCCGTGTCACATAAAAAAAAAAAAAAACTAGGATTCATTACTCTGTTTAAATTCCTAGTATTTAAAAAAATATTTTGAGACATTCATCCTTCTAGTCACCAAAACAAAAAAGCAAGTTAATCTTTAGTATCTAATGCATTAAATATGGTATAATGTACCTCATGGCAGAAATAGCAGCGCATTATTATGTTCAAGGTTGAGCTTTTTATAGGTATTTTACTGAGCTTTAAAAAGTAACCTTTTTTAGATAGTTAGCACTATCTGCTTTAATACGTATTCTAGACTAAAACTCCAGCTTCCACCCACTGGCACAGGACTCTGCAGCCTGAGCTGCCTGTTCATCTCTGTTTTCAAGCCAATTCAACAGAACTGTCCATCATAATATCCTGGGAAGATATAAAGCAACACGGAAGTAAAGACAATGGTTTAGTAAACCCTTATATTTTTCTCATAGCATCAACAAATAGTCTGCCATTTACACTTTAGCCTTTCACCACTTAAAAATAATTTGTGTTTGCCTTCATTTGTCTTAAGCAAATTCAATGCATCAAATAATTTCCCCTGTACACACTTCACTATGCCTCTGTGAGAGAAAAGCATGGTAAGAAAGGTGGCCCAAGACCATACCAACTTATTTTTGCACCTTGTAAAATTTAGCATAATATTGAACATCAAGGCTTTATTCGAAATGTCTTTATTGTTTCAAAATCCCTTACAGATTTTTATATCAGAATCTAAATAAGGCCTATGCACTGCATAAAGATTATATGGCCTTTAAGTATCTTCACCTATATTACTTCTCCTACTATCATATGGCATCTTATACATAACTGGTCCTGAGATTTTTTCCTATATCATATATTTAAGTAATCATATGAGGGTGACATTTAATGCATTTCTTTAAAGAAGATATTTTTTGTCCTGAACATCTTGGTTAGTTCAACAAGGTTTATTGTATTTAGGCTAGTTTTTAAACATTTGGGTGGAAAAGAGTCTGAATTATTCATGCACGGTTTGTGCTGCATAGAACTCCTAGGAGGCACTGAGATTCAGTTGCACTGTTCCTCTTAGAGGGTCTATGTAATGTATCCTTGTATTTTGCATTCCTTCAACATATTTAAACTAGCAATTTTAGCAATCACCGATCTATCATTTTTCAGGCAGGAGCAGTGAAATGGTGGGTTTTGAATTCTATAATGTTTTTCAGCATGGATCAACTGAAGTTCATCGCTAAAGCAGAGATTTTCTTCAGTATTTCCTTACCTTAAAAGGTAGTTGGTATAAAAAAGCCATGAAAATATTACGTTCTATGTCTTTATGATCAGTTTTCAGAAAAGTGAATGCATGTGTATGCAAATTCTAAATGAGACCATTATGTTTTTAATTGTCCTTATTTTAAGCTTTTGTTGTTTCCTTATGGTGGGCTGGTGTTACTATATACTCACACATTGCTGTTTTCAACTTTAATATCATCATTTGAGGGTCAAGTGTGTTACTATGGATTTCCACTACATACCTGACCTAAAGAATTAAAAATTCTCATTTAAATATTCATGGATAGCTGTTTCCAGAAATTCAAACCAATACTGTGTCCCATATAAGCTGCCATATTATTAAAGCAAAATATATCTGAATAGTAAGAATGGCAAACAAGGAGAATGTCCACTGTTCAAATGTACATTTAAAATAATTTTATCATTGAAATGACCACATAGCCAAGGTCTTTGTTCCATTACTTTGTTTATGGCTATTACATCATGAGCGAATATGGATCAATCTATTTAAATGTACAGATTATGGTAACTGTTAGAGAAATGAACAGGATATGCTGTTTAGGAAGAGAAAGAAAGTAAAAGAAAAAAGGATGTACAGACAGAAGTGGTAATTAACTTATTAATTAAAGGGAAAATCAATAAAGAGTGAGTGGAATTTAAATCCATCCTCTATTTTCAAGAAAAGTTAAATAATGTGATTCTAAAAAGGGCAGCCTGGATACTGGCATGCTGTACTTAAGACACATACTGTATTTAACACTACTGTTTTTTGTCCACTGCAACAGAATTTTAAATTTTAATGAAGTGTTGGTAGGTTAGTAAGTTGTATTTTTCTTGCATGTGACAGAAAGAGCGTAACATTATGCATATATTTTTCCATGTCTTTACAATGACTTTAGGAGTAAACAATAAAAGAACTTTGTAAAAGTCACTATATAAACTGCAAAGAAAACTCCAAAATGAGAACAACTGTACATTATATCACTAGTTTAGAGATTTTTAATACTATGCCCGTGTCATTGTCAGATTGTTAAAGCCTATAAGCAAGTAAATATGCTTTTTGTTTTCATTTTGTCTTTTAAGAAATACTAGTAATTCTAAGTGAAGTTTAATTTTTAATTATTTTTGTTGTTTTATATTGACACAATAGTATTTGCATTATAGGTATGGGCTGCAGTGAGATGATTTGATACTGGAATGCAGTATAAAATGATCAAATTAAGGCAATTAGCTTTTTGTTGTATTGGGAATATTCAAACTCCTCTCTTCTAGTTATTCAAGATATATAATAATTTGTTCAAAATTATAGTCACCCCACTGTGTTCAACAGCACACTAGAACACTCTTGCACACTGTTGATAGGAACGAAATTTGTCTGTCAATCATAGAAAACAGTGCAGAAGTTCTGCAAAACACTGGAAACAGGATTGTGATATGATCCAGCATTCTCACTCCTTGGAAAATACGCCCCCCAAAACAAAGTAAATATATCAAAGTACAATTGCATTCACATGCCTACTGTAACACTATTCCCAATAATTAAGACAGAGAATCAAAGTAGCCATTGGATGGATGAAGAAAGTGTAATGTATATACAATGGAATATTATTCAACAGCAAAAAAAGAATGAAGTCTTATCATCTATGGCAACATGGTAAAATTAGAAAGAAACTTCGGAAAGGAAAAATTGCTTTGATAGTAGTTTACATTTGAATGCTGGTTCTACCAATGGTGCAAACTTGGGATAATTTCTTCTCAACTTTGTCTCAGTTTTTTCTTCTGGACAATGAGAATCAGAAACAGCAAAGGTCCTCCCGCAACATGTGTAAGTTACTGTATTGAGAAAATAAATAACTGTTATTTTAGAAAGAAACTACGTCAAGTGAAATAAGCCAGATGCTAGAAAGACAAACACTGCATGTTCTCACATCTGGAAAAGTTGACTTCCTTCTAAGGATATTTTTAAAAATTAGTAATTTAAATTAATCGTTAGATTCCCTTTTCTACAGTCACTGTCAGAAATGACACTTATCTTTTCCAGCCTCAGTCTGCAAAGCT